GAGGTTTAGTCCTCTTAATGCGCATGAGGAAGCTGCACTACCTTGCTGGGTCTGTTGCTGTGGTTTTGATGTGCCAGTGTAGTTTATTGTAATGGCAGATTGTAATGTGTTTATTGCAGCTCTGTCTGAAGAAGCATTGGAGCGTTGTGCTAAGGAGCAGCTACTAAAGATTGCGGCGCACTTCTCGGTAGTGATAGGTGACAAATGCCTTAAAGAGAACATAAAGGTGGCTTTGAAGTCGGAGTTGAGAGAGAAAGGTGTGTTTCCCGCTGGTGCACTTATTCAGACTCTGGGCTTAATGTTTGAACAACAAAAGGAACTGTTGTTGATTCAGCTTGAGCATGACAAATTTAAACATGAGTTGCAAATTAAAAAGCAGATTGAGGTGGAGAGGATTCGGCAAGAAGCAGAGCAGGCCAAATTAGATCTGGAAGGGCACCGCTTAACTTTGGCAAATGACAGTAAGGGGTTAAGTGGAGATCAAAGCAGGCAGTTGTCTGGAGCTGTGGGTTCCTTTGATATTAATAGTTTAAGACTACTGCCACAGTTTAACAAGAAGAACCCTGATACTTTTTTGTATTATTTGAGCGTGTTGCTAAGGCTAGAGTTTGGCCTGATGCAGATTGTGCATTGATGCGTTGTCATGTGCCCCTCTGCTCTTGATGCATCAAAAACATGCTTCCTGGCCACATTGCAGCGTGTGTTAGTGAGAGAAAGTGTGTCACGGCGGCAGATGCGGCTGCGTCAGCAGATGAGTACTTGTTGCTTCATAAAGGGAGTTTTAGAGAGTGTGCTACAATGCATGAGTGTTCTTAGAGAGCTGATGCACCAAAGTCAAAAGCAGTATCGTGAGGTAATGTTGACAACACTAACTGTAACTACTGTCATGGAAAGGGTCACTGGAAGGCTGATTGTCCACTTCTGCATTTTAGAAACAAACCTGTAATATCAAAGGTTAAGCCTGTGGCAGCAGCTGCGCTGGTTGTTACAGACTGTGTATCTGAGTTGCTTACAACAGAGCTTGAACCAGATGTCTTGGCAGCTTATGCTCCTTTTATTAGAGATGGGTTTGTGTCACTGGTAGGAAGTGAGGCTAAGGTTCCAGTAAAAATTCTGAGGGACACAGGGGCCTTTGACTCTGATATTGTGCGATCTGTGTTGCCGCTGTCAGAAGAAACGGATACAGGTAACTGTATACTAAGCTGTGGAATGGGTTTAAATGTTTTGCCCATACGTTACATAAGTTGGTCCTGGGCTGTGAGCTGGTAAAGGGAGCGGCAGCTGTAGGTGTGTGTCCAGCGTTTCCCATTGAGGGGATTCATTTCATTTTGGGTAATGGGCTGGCTGGTAGCCGTGTTTGGGCAGATTCTCCTCCCTTGCCAGTTGTTACATCTTGTCCAGTTAAGTCTGTTGACCATCTCGCCGCTAACTTACCTGGAGTTTTCTCAGCCTGTGTCAGTACACGAGATATGAGTAAAGATGAATCTGAGGGGAAATCTGATGGGAGTGAAGTTGATTTTATGGCTCCATCACTGTCTGACTTTCCGCTATCTGCGTCAAAAACTGTGATGTGTCAAAATACTCGGTATCCTGCTGCGTATCCGTTGAGGGCCATTACCACTAAAGCAGTAGTGAAAGCTCTAAGTCAGTTTATTTCGGTCTTTGGCATTCCGAAGGTCATCCAGAGCGATCAGGGGTCTAATTTCTCTTCACACATGTTTGGTCAAGTCTTGAAGTTGTTGCGTGTCCGTCATAACCAGTCATCAGCCTATCATGCACAGTCAGGGGGCATTGGAAAGATCTCTCCTGCGTGCATACTATGTGGAGTTGGATAGAGACTGGGAGGAGGGTCTTCCTTGGCTTATGTTGGCTGCAAGAGAAGCTGTACAGAGAAGTATGGGTTTTAGTCCTGATGACTTGGTTTTTGGACACAAAGTGCGTGGACCCTTGGCTGTTTTAAAGGATGGCCTGGTGGAGGTGGAACCACCTAGAAATTTGGTTGATTTTGTCAATGGCTTTAGGCATCGTCTGTTTGTAGCAGGTGAAATGGCGAGGGAGAAATTGCAGGTGTCACAGAGTAAGATGCGTGCGGGACATCAAGAGTTTAGTCCGGGAGATCAAGTGCTTGCCCTGATGCCTTTTGTGAGCTCGCCGTTTCAGGCTAAATATGCTGGTCCCTATAGAGTTGTTGAGAGGAGGTCTGACCTGAATTACATAATTGCAACACCAGGACGGGAAAAATTCAACACAGTTATGTCATGTCAACCTTCTCAAGACATATTATAAACGTGAGGCTGAGGTAAGGCAGACAGTGAGACAAGGTGCATCCTGTCCTGCTTGTGAGTTCGGTTTCAGAATCACAGGAGGCAGATGGAGTGCCAGAACCAGATGACAGTTTGTTGTATGGTTTTCAAAAAAAATTCTGAGACACTTTGAAACCTTGATAGTCTGTTGTTGCATTTGACTGAGTCTAAGCGTGGTGAGTTGTCTGATCTGATACAGAAATATCCGTGTCTGTTTGGCGATGTTCCTACATGCACAAATTGGATCGAACATGATGTTGATATCGGAGATGCACAACCAATTAAACATTGCTTTTTACCGCATGTCTCCGGAGAAACATCTGGACTCTGAAGTTGCTTACATGATGGAAAATAATATTGCTGTCCCTTCATCTTGTAGTTGGTCCTCTCCGTGTATTTTGGTCCTGAAGGCTGATAAATCGACTATATTTTATACAATCTTCAGAAAGGTAAACTCAGTCACTAAACCAGATTCCTTTCCACTTCCGCGTATGGACGACTGTATAGATCAGGTTGGTTCTGCCAAATTTGTTAGCAAGACTTGCTTAAGGGTTATTGGCAGGTTCCGTTGTCTGCACGTGCTCAGGAGGTGTCAGCATTTGTTACCCCATCTGGACTCTCTTATAGAGTCATGCCTTTTGATTTGAGGAACGCTACAGGGACATTCCAATGACTTATGAATCGTGTGGTCAGGTCTGGAAAGTTGTTCTGTTTACCTAGATGATCTGGTTATTTATAGTGACACATGGCACGCTCATCTTAAATGCATTCGAGCTTTGTTTGACAGGTTGTCTGAGGCACATCTGACTATAAATTTGGCCAAATGTGAGTTTGCGAGGGCAACAGTTACGTATTTGGGACGTGTAGTGGGGCAGGGCTGTGTAGCTCCAGTCCAGGCCAAAGTTAGGTCAGTAGAACATTTTCCTGTGCCTACAACTAAAGTTGCAACATTTTTGGGTCTAGTCGGATACTATAGGAGTTTCTGTAAAAACTTCTCTACAGTTGTTTTTCCTCTGAGTTGCTGGAAGCTAAGGCAAAGTTTGTGTGGTCTAATGAGTGTCAGCAAGCCTTTGAGAACATCAAGTTTCTGTTGTGTTTGTCTCCTGTGTTGATAGCGCCACAGTTTGATAAAACATTCATGCTCCAAGTAGATGCAAGTCAGGTTGGTGCAGGTGCTGTTTTGTTGCAGGAGGACATTCGGGGAATGGCGAGACCAGTTAGCTTCTTTTCTAAAAAATTCTGAATGAATTATTCAGTGATAGAGAAAGAAGCGCTGGCACTTGTTTGGGCTTTGCAGCATTTCGAGGTTTACATTGGAGGGGGGAACTTGTTGTGCACACAGATCACAATCCGCTGACGTTTTTACAGTCACTTAAATGTCGAAATCAGAGGCTCATGAGGTGGTCGTTGTGTTTGCAAACCTACACATTAGAGATTACACATATTAAAGGAGTGGATAACGTAATAGCAGACGCGTTGTCACGTGCCCCTCTGCTCTAAGATATTGACCTGTTTTTTCTCCTATGCCTGTTTTCTTAATTTGCTTCCCAGGTACCGGGGTTTGCTGAAGATGGAATGGGGGGGGGAGTGGTAGTCCAAGCACAAGTTGAAGGTCAACTGCACATTTCTGCTGTGTGTATATATTTTGCCAATTTTGTAACATTTAATGATCTGGATTATGTTAGGTTATGTTAGTTGTGGTTTGTTTTGCCAGCAGCTCCTCTGGGCCACCGACTTTATGGTGGTGAGGTATCACTCTGTGGGAGTGATACCTCACCACTGTTAACCATCTTTGTTTTGTTGAGGTGATTGCTGATCGGGGCACCTTGGACCTGTGAGCCAGGGGAGATAAAGCTCCACTTGGGCAAACTACTTTCTCTTCGTCCTTCTTCTGTAAACCATGGCCTGACCACCGCGACTGCCACATTTGTTTTGAGTTATTTATGTTACAGAGACACACCTTGCACATTTAAATAGTTATGTTTAGTTCACTCTCTTGTTAAATAAATCACTTTTGATCCTTTATGCTGCCTCGTTCCCTCTTTTGTTATGACCCTTGAGCCAGGTTTTGACACATCACAAGCCTCTATGGGCAACTTCTAACCACTTGAGAGACCTCGAGCTGTCTTAAATAACTGGGAGAGTAAGAGTGATTCTTAGCTTTAAAAAAATTGATAACTTGCTTTTATTCTTAAATTTTAAAGTAGGAGTAAATTTCATGAATTCTCAGCACTTGAGACCAAAATGGCACTTGATAAATGATGGTTAATTATGGTTATGGTCAACACTTGATGCCAAACAGTGGATCACTTCACAAATCTGAGGTAGAACATTCAAAACAATTGTGATAAAATATTTAACAAATATGCATGAGTAAAATTAAAGGCTTTTTTCAGTCCTTTTTCCTTTAACAAAACATCTTGATAAAAAATTAAGTCCTTTGTGTCTGATTCGAGTGAATACATACATTTATTGAATATTTATTGAACATTTGTTGTTGTTGAAAAAAAATTTCTGAGATAATTGTTTTATTGTCCAGCCCTACAGCTCATCAAAAGTAATTTCTCACTCTCTATTTTTCACTATTCTGTTTTGCTTTGTCAAATCAGTGAACTAGACTAGAGCTGACCCCTCCAAAATGGCGTGTAGTTCAGAATTGGGACAAAGTTCAGGCCTACAAAGATGTACAGAGACATGTTAAAATTTCTGAATACCGGTATTTTATTAAAAAGCATTAATCAATTTGTCATGAATCATATGTCTTCTCACAGAATAAAAAGGATACACCGCATGTGCAAAACCTTAATGGCAGTGTTGACTCAGTAGTGAAAGCATGGCAAGTTATTGCCTATAAAGTAATAATTAATATGAATACATCAGTGAGGAACAGTCAGTGTGAATTCAAATTGTAACTTATTTAACAGTCAACATGATATAAAAGTGTTGCTCAACAGTAATAAATGTGTCATTTCTCATTTACATTCAGTGTTGTATTAGCTATATTTTTAATAAAGATATGGAATCAGAGTGCAGAGCTCAGCCCGGATTCATTCATTTTCCTTCTTGTTCTGCCCATTCACTGTATCCTCCTTTGTAATGCCTCGCCCTGAGAAGAAGGAGCATAAAGACAAGACCTTATTGCTGCTGTTTGTCTTTCTTCTAAAAGGTCATCCAGCGTTCAACAAAACAAAGCAGCATGCGAGAACAGTATACTCTAGTCTCAGCACGGATTAATAATTAAATAACACAGAAAAATAGTGCTGGATAGCTCCATACAGCCCATTATGTATTTTAGCAGTGTCCACAGTACCTGATTTCATTAATATTTGATGCAGTTGGTCTGGAATTATATTCAGAAATGTATTTATTTGCTGTCTTCCCACTTTGAAAGCTGACCGTGACCTTTAATGGGTTGTGCAATAGCTGGGCTACTGGATTGATATGTTTCATGTGTGTAAGGCGCTCCTGTTGTTTTACCTGTTAAATCCCAGCTGGCAGGCGATGTCCAGGGCTTTGGAGCTCCTGTAGCCACTTTTGCAGTGAAACACAATATTGTCGTCATCTTTCCTAGGAGCCTTCACTTTAAATTTCTGCTGAAAATGCACCGGGGACAGCTTCAGAGACTCCTCCAGGTTGTCCACTGATATACACACACAAACAATAAGAAAGTAAGAACCCACAGGAAGCCCATCCCCACTTTGTACATGTATTTAACACTTACGTGGGATGTTCACAGCATCTGGGATGCGTCCGGCCTGGTATTCATCAGGATTTCTCACATCAAATAGCTGAATGTCACGGTTGGACAGCATGGTCTTCAGCTGTGAGTAGGTCACCACTGAAGCTGAAACATAAAAGATTACAAACCCTTTAGTATGAAGGTTAAATTCACCCTTTGTGAAACTGGACCCTTTCCCCCCCACTGAAGCCTGTTAAAACTTATAAACTCACCATCCATGGTTTCAATAGTAACCTGTGTTACTTTAGCGTGTCAGTGTTGCTGCGGCTGTGAGGGTAAACTAGAGCTTTCCCTACTGACAGACAATTGTTGTCCATTTGAAACAAAAATGCCGGAGTCAACCAAACCCTCCGTTTCAAACAATCACATGTTGTGGGACATTCAGTTTGACAATGCTGGCAGCTAGCCAGCAGATATTTCACTTAAGTAAAGGTCTGGCATTTAAAGTGTTACCTAAGTAAAAGTACACATGTATATATATATACGTAAAAGTAAAAGTACTCGTTCTGCAGAATGGCTCATAATAATGTAGATTAGATAAATGGGTTGTGAATTAATGTGCTCATCACTCTAATGCTGCAGCTGGCAAAGGTGGGGCTAATTCTAACTACTTAGGATCAATAAAGTCTCATCTTAAACTGTTTAACAGGCTACATCATGCTTTATTTGTTGATTATATTTTATATTGTTAATCTCAATCCACAAAGTAGGAGGAGTAAACAGTATCTATCAATTAGCCTCTGAATTGCTGGAGAACATAAAAAAATCCTCAAGTAAATGAGTAGGCTACCTCAAAATTGTACCTTCGTAGGCTGCATTACTTGAGTAAATTTATTTTCCACTACTGGCTCTAATAATGTCATTAACGATAAATAGGTTTATGGCTACATTACATTTTTACAGTAGCAACAAATAGCGCTTTTAAAACGAGATTTCACAACTAGACCTATACCATTGTGAAACACAGCTGATTGAAATTCACTATGCAGACGCAGGCCGAAAGCACACAAGGTGATTCTTTGTTGGACAGAGACCAGCAAATATGTTTTACCGCTGTCCGGTGCTCCTCCGCATTGTGGACTCGAGGTTGTAAAAGCCCGAAACGCTGAACCTAAGGTCGGGTAAGACCTGCGGTTCACTTCTGCGACAGCCTGGCAGAAACTTCGTGACAGCACATAGGACAGCATTGTGTAGAGTTGAGCCGTGAAGTGAACTCTTGCCCCGCTGATCTCAATCACACAGGCCGGTGTTCCTCCTCTTCTTCTTAAGAAACGTCCTACTCAACGCTGCATTTGTTGCCATCCTCAGGTTGGAAAAGTTATAGCCAAGGTCTTCTTGTAATTTCTGAATTAACACATTTATTTATCTATTTATCCTAAATTCTTAAATACAGTATCATATGCTTTTCCTTTCCAGCCTCAGTGCAATCATCATTCAGGACTGGCATTGTTGGTTTGATAACTTTTCCAGACATTTTATGGATTCTGGATATGGAGTAGGCTATGCTCACCTTTTTCGGCAATCCTTAATCACACATCCTGCTTCATGGAAATACACATCAGGCTAATTAGAGCAATGTTGTAGGTCAGTGCTTGCAGGAGTTAGCTGTTGAATTCTCTTCAAACTTTGAGTATTTAGAAAGAAATCTTTGCCTTTTCATTTGATGGCAGCCTGAGACTTGCTGGCCATGTCTTCATGAGTTTTGTTTCAGAGCTTAAAGCCAGTTAAAGGCTGGTCCACGATCTCAGTGGATCTGTGCATTTCAGCTTCTATCAGCTGGACAAACTTCACAAAACACCCAGAAGGCCTCAGCTTGTACAGTTTTGTCCATGTAAATTTTCTAATTCAGTCTATCATTAAAACGAATCCCACAGACATTTCAATGATTTAACTCTTTCCAGCCTTAGGCTGCTCAGACCTCATGTACACATCATTTTATCTACAGAGTTATTCTAATCCCATGTTTCTGCTTTAACATATTCACAAACCAAAACTGTGCTTTTAGAATAAGGGCATTATTTATACACACTATTACTTTAAGAGTATGGATAATAATAAGTCAACCTTTCTCTTTTAAAAAAAGACAGTGTTGGTTATATTCACTTGTTGTGCAAGTGTGCAGTTTCCCACAACTTTCTCCTGCGGAGTTTCTTAAGGGAGTGCCTCTTGCTTCGACTTTGTTCTTTGTAAACCACCCACAGATGTAGGAGTATTGCATATTAACTTAAATCTCTCTGTGTGTCTGTGTGTGTCGACTGGGTGGGAATGGAATTATTGCCTTTACTTTTATAGTGTGAAGCACTTTGTGTTACATGGCTGTTGTATGAAAAGTGATATACAAATGATGATCGATTGATTGATTGATGTGACGAGAAGTCATGAGTTGGCATTGGTCGGCTAAAGGTTGGAAATCAGTGCAGGCAATTTGATTCAATTTCACTTTTCAACCAGATTACCAATCTCTGCTCCCGGCAGAATTTACTTTAGTAAAAACTGATTCTGAATCCAGAGAATAAATTTTCTGTCTGTCTTGAGATTCTTTATTGGCGTCAGCAGGAACAAATTCTACACAAAAGCCCAAAGACAATGTTTTAAAACTATAGGTCAGCTGAATATAGAAATGAAGATTTTTAAATTATATTTTTACACTGATCCTGGTTCAGCATTTGGTCGGCCACAGGAATATCTTACTGAGCCTGGATTTCTCACACTTGTCCAGCAGATGCCCTCATTGGGTTGGTCAGGGTGTGGTGTATAACATATGTGCATCTGGCCATTACGTGCATCCGGCCATTACAGTTTAACATAATGCTCTGCAGCTGGTGAGAGGGACAGTGAACCCTTATGGGGAAGTAATGATTGATGGGTGTGCAAAGAGTGAACCCTACTATGAAATTTGACCTCTGACCCAGTGGTAGGGGGAGTAGAGGTTAGTGTGTATGAAGGGACTGTGCCCTTATATGGTATTTAGCAGAGACCTAAACATGTCCTATATAAGCTGTGTTCGATGTACAGAGAGACAGAGTGGTCATCGGGCTGGGTCACTCTCCAAGCTGCTGCAGAGCTTGTAATTGATGCTGAATTCTTTGATGTAATAAACTTTTATAATCAAGAACAGTGTCAAGCGGATTTCTTCTTAACACATCATCGCAGCATTATCGTTGGGACACCACAAGGGCATCAGCCTTTCTGTGTGCTTGAAGCTGAAGTGGATGTGTGTTCATCAGTGGACAGGACTTCCCTGACAGTGCACATGCTATTAATCATAATTTGCTCCCTACATGATGGTGATCCAAGTTGTACTAAAAAAAGACTGAAGTCAGGGATACATTCAAGCCAGTCATGTTATTGCACACCAAACTTGAAAAAACTTTTACTCGTAGACCTTGTTGACCATGTCAGAAACACGTCAGAATCACCAAATATCAAAGAGCAATTTGTTCAAGAAAACCAAAGGAAAGGAAACCTTTCAAATTTCAGACCAATCTGAAGGACATTCTACTTAGTCTAGCCAAATAAAACTCCGATGGCTCCAAACATTCACAATGCAGACTTCAGAAAATCAATTATCATTATTGACGTTCCTAAATAGCAATTTGCCGTAAAATCATTATGTCTTGTAGTTTTCACTTTAGCTGTGTGTGTGTGTGTGTGTGTGTGTGTGTGTGTGTGTGTGTGTGTGTGTGTGTGTGGAGTAGACAGGGCCCCACAAAGATGAATGAGCTGTGTGGTGTCCGAACAATAATACTGCGATGATGTGTTGAGAAGAAACCCACTTGACACTGTTCTTGATCATAAAAGTTTATTAAATCAAAGAGTTGAGCATCAATTACAAGCTCTGCAGCAGCTTGGAGAGTGACCCAGCCCGACGGCCACTCTGTCTCTCTGTACGTCAAACACAGCTTATATAGGATATGTTTAGGTATCTGTTAGCTACCATAGAAGGGTTTGTGTCTGAGTCTGCAAAAAAGCTCAAACCCATGGATGGGTACAGTACTATTCTGAGGTAACAAAACAAGGGGTTAGAGGTCAAATTCTATAGAAGGGTTCAGTCCCTACATAACCACCAATCACTGCTCTCCGCAGTGCGCTTTAGGATACTCAATCATTTACTATGGCCCATTGAGTGATTTATAACCTGTTCAAGTTGTGTGTTTTGAAAGTGGATTTGAAATCTTATCATCCTAAAAACTTAATCAGTCACGTTCACAAACCTCTTCAGTGAACGTGTGCAAGTTTCATTTTACAAACCATAACTGGACGTCGGTTTAAACCCTTGTGTAATAAAGCTTTTTTTTTTACTTTTGGCGTATCTGTTTCCTTCCGTCACTTCCCAGCAGACTGATGAACACGACAGTCAGCTGACACATCCACACACAGCCACGCCTCGGACTAACCCACGTTGTCTGTAAAGAGGGGGGAAAAATTAGTTCAGGACAATTAAATGTTTTAAACCTTCATTTCCTACACTTTAAATGGTGTACGTTAGACATAAGTAATTAGTCTATAAGGCTATTTACAACTCAGAGACTGTGTTTTTTGTTTTTATTGGTTTGTGACATCGTTTAAAAAAAAAAAACCCTTCGCCGATGGTATAATCGTATGACGATCGCAAACACAGAGGAATGACTCCCTGACTCAAATTGAACGTCTCACTGTTACAAACTCAGTCGCTTACTTTTCTGATCTGCTTATTTTTTCTCCACTAAAACCTGTCACAATGCCGATGAAGTGTGGAGGGACCTCCCCGCCAGCTGAGGCGGATGAAAAAATCCAGAAGATCTGCGACATCGTAAGTACAAAAAAAAAGAAGTAAAATTAGGCTATGGCCTGCACTATGACTTTCTTCTCTCAAAACGTTACTCACACACAGCAAACGGAGCCTGTGTTTCATTTTATATGTTGCTTTCGCCTCGTTGGTCCTCAGGTGAAGCCTCATGCGGAGCAGAAAGCAGGGAAGACCTATGATGTTTTCACAGCCAAGAGCTACTCGACGCAGGTAGTGTCGGGGAGGAACTACTTCATTAAGGTAATTATTGTTTTCAAGGCAAAGGGCACAATAAGGTAGTCTACTGTGGCCCCGAGGTCCTGGCAGATGATTTGTTTATCTTATGCGTAGACTGTGCTATCTTTCAGGACTTTTGTGGGACTTTTAAATTTTCTGGAAGCAAGGAAATGCATGTCCCTCTATCCACTGTAAATAACCATATTTTTATTATATTCAGACCAAATGTAGCCTACATAGTAGGCTATTGGAGAAAATGAAAAGCAAAAGCTGACATTTTAAAACCATTATGCTTTAGTGGATCCTGGCCCTCTGACCTTAACAAATCCAGCTCTAAAACACAAATAAGAAACTCCATTTAGTCCATTCAATGCAACCAGCAGCAGCCGATCACATTTTAATAGCCTACCAGGTGTGAATGGGGTGTCTGAGAAGACTGATGCAGAGGGGACCGTCCAGCTGCACTGTGGTGCTTAAGGTGTTGCATGAGGTCAAAGAGGTTTAGGTGTGGGAGATAGGTTTAGTAGTTTGAAAAGGAAAAAAAAACGTACAAATTTCTTGAGTCGCCACCCAACCCTTAATTAGAGTCTGAGTCTCAAGAGTTGGTGGAGACCAGAGAAGGAGCTAAAAGAGAGTGGATATTGAATACTGATTATTTTAGCACACTCTTAAGATTGTCATAAAAATTGCAGGTGACTCAAAATAAATGCTAATGTTGCCCTGTATCTGCTGGATGTGTAATTAAGAGTCTGCTAACAAGTTTTGCCCTCTTAACCTAGAAGAAGATATGTGTTGTGTTTTACAGCTGCTTCCTCCAACTGGCCAAAACACTCTGTGAATGCAGGTGCTTAACTTTACTTTTACTTCCTTGCAGGTTCACGTGGGAGGAGATGATCACGTGCACCTCCGTGTTTATGAAAAACTCCCATGTAATGGAGGAGAGATTGCGCTGAGTGATATGCAACAATCCAAGAGCCACCACGACCCTATTGAGTACTTCTAATGGGATCCCAAATGAAACATCAGTGCCACCAGGCTGCAGTGTCATTGTAGTCTGTTTATTATCAGATTATCCCGCTCCTCTATATAAAACAGTTTATGCAGTTCATGATGTTAGGAGTAGGTCAAAATATATAAAATAACAGTTTTGTACAACATGAATGAATAAATGGACCAGACTTGTAATTCTGTTACGTGTTTCTTTTCTTTCTGTGGTATCTTATTTGTAAAATAGCGGAAGCCTCATTTCTGGTAATGAAGAAGGGGCAGGGCAGTCAGATAAGTTGGATTTATCTTGCTGATACGGTGATTAATGATATTTTCAGGGTGTTGGGTCATAAAATTTTACAAAAGGTAGTGTAGCACAGTTGTGTCTCTGAATTGACAGTGGAGTTCTGTGACCTGTGCAACAATAACAATAATAAACATTGAACATACACTACAAGAGAGACACATTTAGAGATTTCTTGCTTGTTCATTGCCAATACAGTCAACATCTTAAAATAAGAATAATGTATATTCCTAAAAATAATAAAGGTAAATTTAATTGGTTGCATTATAACCAGTTTTAAGGTGCCGGGCTTCAATTGCCACGGTGATTATACTTTCAACTGTATCTTCAACACAGTCATTTTTGCCCGGGCACTGAGCCTGATCCTTTAAGACATTTACATGAGTCACACACAGAATATACGTACCACCATTATGTTCGAACAAAATCACTTTGTGTAAACTAAACATACCTTTATGAGTCACACCGGCCATACTGAAGGTGAATTGTGAACTTAGTGACTGATCAGTGAACAATAGCTGCTGGATTCTTATAGTATCAATCTAGAAGAAGAAGAAAAAAAAGAAACTACAGCAACGGAAACATTTTATTTGACCCTCTTTAAAAATATGTCCTGAAGTTTCAATTAACAAGGTAATTACTGATGCATTTAACACTAATTTAATTACTTTTTATCAAGCCATAGATTTATTCTATTTGTTTTAAGGGTACATCTGTTAACCTCTTTAATTAATCACTGTTCAAGTCTGTTATTATTCTGATACACAGCCCAGGCTACACATGTACATCACATTATCACATTTATATTCTGCCCTCAAGTGCTCTTTAAAACTACACTGTCTCTATGACTTTGTGCCTCTTATTTCGTGATGCTTCTTTCAACTTTTCTAGCAGAGCAATGAAAACATTCCTCGTTAGAAACATTTTTTAAAAAATCAACTCAATCATAATAATCTAGTTAGAAATGCTGAAACGGTTGACTGTACAAACCACATCACACTGCAGCTGTGCTGAGCCACACCAGATTGTGTCAGCAGTTTTTGTGGATGCCTGGAATTTCACATCAGTCAATCCCTGTTTGCTTCATCTTGTGACTACAGTTCCTCTTTGTTGAGCACACGCTGCATGATGTTGTTCCTATTACTAGACGAATAATAAAGAAGTAATAACGTGTTGTTATGAAAAGCCCTGTGAGATAACTGTTGTTGTGATTTGGCGCTATATAAATAAAGTTGAATTGAATTGAATTGAATTTGGCCATCAAGTTCTTGATATTATCTGTTTTTAGCCCTCTGAAATATTTACATGCATATGGATTAAAGTGGCCACCTTGGATTATTACCCCAATGGAAAGCATTGAATTCATTAAAAGCAGGGAAAGCTGGAATAAGTTAAATTTGATATTGATCAACGTTTCTTAACTGAACTGAAGGCTTGTGTGGCTGTAAACAAAAATGTTCAGAATCACAGCACTCCACCCTCAAGGTGAAAGCCACAACTATGCCATGCTATTTGTTTTAAGGTGGGGCTGCACAGAAAAATGCAGATTTAAATCTCAAAAGCTCAGAAGAAGTTTCTGTTGGAATCTGCAATGTACAAAGTTCAAATAGTTTAAACGGCAAAAAGTCACGAGTTAGACGTTGAGTTTTTAACTGATAATGTTTCCACAGACTATCTGTGGTTTGGCTTTCAGTTTTCCAAACCTTGTGACAGTTTACAGTGTACACATATACAGGTGCTGGTCATATAATTAGAATATCATCAAAAAGTTGATTTATTTCAGTAATTCCATTCAAAAAGTGAAACTTGGATATTATATTCATTCATTACACACAGACGGATATATTTCAAATGTTTATTTCATTTAATTGTGATGATTAAAACGGACGACTAATGAAAATCCCAAATTCAGTATCTCCGAAAATTAAAATATTACTTAAGACCAATACAAAAAAAGGATTTTTAGAAATGTTGGCCAACTGAAAAGTATGAACATGAAAAGTATGAGCATGTACAGCACTCAATACTTAGTTGGGGCTCCTTTTGCCTGAATTACTGCAGCAATGCGGCGTGGCATGGAGTCGATCAGTCTGTGGCACTGCTCAGGTGTTATGAGAGCCCAGGTTGCTCTGATAGTGGCCTTCAGCTCTTCTGCATTGTTGGGTCTGGCGTATCGCATCTTCCTCTTCACAATACCCCATAGATTTTCTATAGGGTTAAGGTCAGGCGAGTTTGCTGGCCAAGAATAGGGATACCATGGTCCTTAAACCAGGTACTGGTAGCTTTGGCACTGTGTGCAGGTGCCAAGTCCTGTTGGAAAATGAAATCTGCATCTCCATAAAGTTGGTCAACAGCAGGAAGCATGAAGTGCTCTAAAACTTCCTGGTAGACGGCTGCGTTGACATTGGACCTCAGAAAACACAGTGGACCAACACCAGCAGATGACATGGCACCCCAAACCATCACTGACTGTGGAAACTTTCCACTGGACTTCATGCAACGTGGATTCTGTGCCTCTCCTCTCTTCCTCCAGACTCTGGGACCTTGATTTCCAAAGGAAATGCAAAATTTACTTTCATCAGAGAACATAACTTTGGACCACTCAGCAGCAGTCTTAAGCCTTTAACCTTTTTGTCTTTAGCCCAGGCGAGACGCTTCTGACGCTGTGTCTTGTTCAAGAGTGGCTTGACACAAGGAATGCGCAGCTGAAACCCATGTCTTGCATACGTCTGTGCGTGGTGGTTCTTGAAGCACTGACTCCAGCTGCAGTCCACTCTTTGTGAATCTCCCACATATTTTTGAATGGGTTTTGTTTCACAATCCTCTCCAGGGTGCGGTTATCCCTATTGCTTGTACACTTTTTTCTACCACATCTTTTCCTTCCCTTCGCCTCTCTATTAATGTGCTTGGACAGCTCTGTGAACAGCCAGCCTCTTTAGCAATGACCTTTTGTGTTTTGCCCTCCTTGTGCAAGGTGTCAATGGTCGTTTTATGGACAGCTGTCAAGTCAGCAGTCTTCCCCATGATTGTGTAGCCAACAGAACTAGACTGAGAGACCATTTAAAGGCCTTTGCAGGTGTTTTGAGTTAATTTGCTGATTAGAGTGTGGCACCAGGTGTCTTCAATATTGAACTTTTTCACAATATTCTAATTTTCTGAGATACTGATTTTGGGGTTTTCATTAGTTGTCAGTTATAATCATCAAAATTAAAAGGAATGAACACTTGAAATATATCAGTCTGTGTGGAATGAATGTATACATTATACAAGTTTCACTTTTTGAATGGAATTACTGAAATAAATCAACTTTTTGATGATATTCTAATGATATGACCAGCACCTGTACTATTGGAGAAAATGAAAAGCAAAGGCTGACGTTTTACCACCATTATGTTTTAGTGGATCTTAAAGCCTGTCCCTCTGGCCCCCCTTCCTTTGTCAGGGAAAAAAAAAGCAAAATCCCAGCCCAACTGCCCTCTCCCATAATGCAGAAGTTACTATGACAAATCCAGCTCTAAAACACAAATAAGAAACTCCATTTAGTCCATTCAATTGTAGTATCCAATATTTATGCATCTGACTCATAACAGTTCAAAATAGCACTGTAGCAGCAGGACAGAGGGTCAGTGACCTTCTACGGGGAGAGCAGTGATTGGTGGTTATGTAGGGACTGAACCCTTCTATAAAATTTGACCTCTAACCCCTTGTTTTGTTACCTCAGAATAGTACTGTACCCTTCTATGGGTTTGATCTTTTATTTTGTAGACTCAAACCCTGCTATGGTACCTAACAGATACCTAAACATATCCTATATAAGCTATGTTTAATGTACAGAGAGACAGAGTGGCCATCGGGCTGGGTCACTCTCCAAGCTGCTGCAGAGCTTGTAATTGATGCTGAACTCCTTCATTTAATAAACTTTTATGATCAAGAACAGTGTCAAGCGGGTTTCCTCTCAACACATCATCGCAGCATTATTGTTCGGACACCACAATGCAACCAGCAGCAGCATATCACGTTTTAATAGCCTACCAGGTGTGAATGGGGTGTCTGAGAAGACTGTGATGCAGAGGGAACCGTCCAGCTGCACTGTGGTGCTTAAGGTGTTGCATGAGGTCAAAGAGATTTAGGTGTGGGAGAGAGAGGTTTAGTAGTTTGAAAAGAAAAAAACATGTACAAATTTCTTGAGCTGGCACCCAACCCTTAAATTAGAGAGTGGATATTGAATACTGATTATTTAGCACACTCTTAAGATTGTCATAAAAATTGTGTTTTTTATTATGGATGAAAGTGGCTACCTTGGATTATTCCCCCAGTGGAAAGCATATTTGTTTTAAGGCGGGGCAGCACAGAAAAATGTAGCTTTAAATCTCAAAAGCTCAGAAGAAGTTTCTGTTGGAGTGTGCAATGTACAAAGTTCAAATAGATTAACGACAAAAAGTCAAGAGTTAGTGAGTTTTTAACTGATAATGTTTCCGCAGACTATCTGTGGTTTGGCTTTCAGTTTTCCAAACCTTGTGACAGTTTACAGTGCACACATATACACACACGGAGTTTGCGAACTGACAGTGAATTAGTGAATTGTTAGTGATGAACTCTTTGAACAACATGTTGGCTTGTCACACAAAAAAACCAGGAATAATTAAAATCTGATCTGACAGACTCATTTCTGTATGTAGGACAATAAGAAATTATGGGAAAATGTGAGCAATTACTGGCAGCAGAGGAGAAGCATTTTGTCTGGATCGACTTTATTGCATGTTTTAACTAGCAGAGTGCAGATGTCTACCAGCCCTAAGGTGTTTCTTGGGAATCTTGGGTGTGTCCAGGGTGAATGCATGAGAGTAGTAGAATAAAGTGTTTTTGTTGTTTTTGTTATTGTATTAGGGTTTTTAGTAT